GAAAGAGGAACGTAGGAGAAAAGAACAAGAAGCAAAAGAACGTAAAGAGAGAGAGGAGAGAGAACGTAAAGATAGAGAAGAGAAAGCTCGTAAGGAAAAAGAGGAAAAAGAGCGGCGTCAACGCGACGAACGTGATAGAAAAGAGCGTGAGGCAAAGGAACGAAGAGAACGTGAGGCAAGGGAACGAAAAGAAAAAGAGGAAAATGAACGTAAAGAGCGAGAATTAAAGGAGCAAGAAAAGGTTCGTAAAGAAAAAGAAGAAAAGGAGCGTAGAGAACGCGAAGAAAAAGATAGAAAAGATAAAGAAGAAAAAGAACAGAGGGCTGTTACTTTATCCTCTACGCGGCAACATATTGAACGAAAACGCACTATTCCACCAATTGGTCAACCTTCAGTACAACAATCACAACCACCAATAAATAATCAACCCGCTATACAATCTAAAAATGTTGCTACGATGTCTAACGGAGCTATTAATTGGATTAATTATGCATCACACGAATCACATCAAACTATTCCTCCACATCATGCTATAAATCAACCTCATTCAGTCAATCATCATATGCCTCCACCCCCAAATCACCCACCACATCCAATATTTAGTCAGAATGGGCCACAACCCCAGTTTGGAGGGCAACCTGGGGGGATTATAAATGGTCCAGTAGGAATGAATAATGAGATCGTAAATGATGTATATACGAACAATAAAAAAATACTTAACCAACCGCCACAGCAGCCAACGAACACTTTACCAGGGATGAATCCCGCATCTTCGCTGTTCGCTACGGGATTAGGCCCAATTGGTATGGGTGTCCATCCACATCATGGTGGACCTCCGATGCCAATACACGCTCATCATCCAGTAATGCGACAACAGATACCTCCCCGAGGGTTCAATCCTATTGGGGCAGCACCTCACCTAACTGGTCCTGCTACAGGTGTTCCACCATCAGTAGCATCCACAAATCTATCTCTACTTAATGAACCCGTAATTGGTGGCAATGGAAACATTGGTACAGGAGGAGTCAATACTAACCCACCACCTGGTGCATTTGGCGGATTGCCCCTAGGTGGAGGACAGGGACCATTAGGTCCACAAACATTTAATTTGGGAACTCAGGTTGTTGGTCAACCAGCACCCTCTTCTCATATTGGCCCTAACGTCGTCCAAAATGCTCCTCTAGCTCCTATCGGGCATCGTAGGATGTCACAGCATCCTGATGATCCTCATATCAAAGCGGTGCATCGACCACAACCAATACAACGCCCATCACGAAGGGAGTCAGTTACAATGCATACATCCCTAGACACACGAACGCGATCGCCACCACCAGGGTTTGGCAATATGGTTGGATCTGGTGCGTTGATTGGCGATGATCAACCACGTCCAATGACGAATAGACGACAAAGCCTTGCAACTGCTGAAAGTTCATATTTCTCTAATTCTTTATTTTCAGCCTTGCCTGGAGGTTAGATAAATTTTATTTAAAAATATAAATTAAATAAACCATTACAAATAATTAAAACGATCATTTTTTTAGAAACATCTCAACAGTCGCAGTCTTCACAGAATCAACAACCGCAACCGCAACATCAGCTAGGGTCGTCGCGTTTAACACATAGACCTGTTGGTGATAATGAATGGCCTCCAATAAGAAGATCCGGAGGAACAGATAATATTAGTGATACAGTATCTATTAATAGTAGTAACAATATTGGTAGTAATAATATAGGTGCATCAAATTCAGATATTTGGAGTTTAAACAGTGTTAACTGGTATCAAGAAGGTAATAACAATACTAATCGTAGAGTAATGGGCAGTTCGAAAGACTTTGGAATACCATAATCAAAATGATACCAAATATATAATGAAATATTTGTAAAACCGTCTACTATATATTCGTAGTGCAAATTCTCTTGTATACCATACCATACATACATACATACATACATATACATATATTTTCATCATTTTAGGTTCGGTTTGGTGAAATTAGTTTTTTTTTTTTTTGTCGTGACTGAATACAAAGAAGTTTTTTTTTATACCACTCTTTTTTCATGCCACATTTTTTACAGGGGTTGTTCCCTTTAATATAGCGAATGATAAAAAAAAAAAACCTTTATTTGTGTCAAGCCGGAAGTCAGCATATACTACATCTAATTTATTTCCCAAAAATTTTTCTATGGGCTAAAAAAAAAAAACACGTAAGAAATTGACTG